GGCTTAGTGTTCCAAGGTTCCTCACCCTCTGCTTGTCTGGCTGTGGGTCTCTGCATGCATTCCCATCTAGTGCAGCAGGAGGTTTCTCTGGCGATAGCTGAGAAAGGCACTGATCAGATCCCGGCTGGTGGCATATTCCCAGCAATGTCCTAGATTCTATTCCTCCTGTCTCCACCTCTTCAGATCTGGAGTTACTGGCACGTACAAGTTCACAGTTTTACAACTGACTTATTGGTGTAAATAGTGCAGTCCAGAAGGCAGTGGAGTCACACATAAAAAAAAATTATTGCTGAGCACAGTACACACCTGTAATGCCAGCACTCTGGAAGGCAGAGGCAGGAGGTGAGTTTGAGGCCAGCCTGATCTACAGAGTGAGTCCAGGACAGCCAAGGCTACACAGAGAAACCCTGTCTCAGGGGAAAAATATATTTTATTTTATTGTACGAATATTTTGCTTGCATATATGTATGTGTACTGCTTTCATGTATGGGGCCTGAAAATATAAGAAGAGGCCATCAGATCCTCTGGAACTCAAATCCACTCCAATAACAAAAGCTATCTTTACATAATTTTGGATCCAAACAAAGATTACCAGAAATGGCAAACATATAAGTAAACACAAAGAAGGGGGTATTTAAAAAAAATTAACAAATAAGTGCAATTAAACACTGGCCTAAAATGCCCTGCCCTCACCACAGGGCTTCATTGTAAATGACCGATTTACGGCATGATGGAAGCTAGGCCGGTGATTACCGTCAGGTGAGTGACTGCTCTCTGCTGTGGCAATACCTGAGAAGGGCAGCTGAAGGAGGGAAGGGCTTGTGCAGCACCCAGTTTGAAGGTCTGTCACAAGCGCAGCACAGCAGCCAGAGGACTAGGCGGCGGGCGGTCACATTGCAGCTGCAGTCAGGAAGGAAAGAGGGAGGCAACCTGCCTCCCTTCTCTTTCTCCTGCCCGGAGCCCACCCTGTGGGTCAGTGCAGCCACATCAAGACAGGTCTTCTCACCCCATTTAACCAAACCTAGAAACTCCCTAAAAGATGTGCCCAGGGGTCCATTTCCTGGTCAATCTACATTCTCTCAATGTAGTATTAACTTTCTAGTTGTATTTTGTGAAGAGACAGGTAGGGCATGAAATAAAGATTTAGCAGGGACCATTTTGTGTGTGTTGAGAATTTTTTTTTTCATTCACTACTGGAATCTATGTAAACAAATACCTTGAATGAAAATACTCCATGCACAAATCATGGATTCCTGGGGGACAAAATTCATACATTTGGACCCAATTCACCGTCTTAGTTTCTTTGATGATCTGTTTCCTGGATGTTCCTGTCAGTATCACTTTGTGATACTTGCTGACAACCAGACTTCAACAAAATTAGTAAGCATTCTAAAAGAAACAAAAAAATGTATCTATACACATCTAAATTAGAGACAGACAATATTATGCTTTAAATGTGGAACTTCCTGTTCTGGTTAATGATAATGTTTGGCAGGGAGATGGGAGGCAAGGAGCAAAAAGCCTGAGGTCAGATCTGGCAATCCTCCCACCTTTGGGATGTCGCTTGGGGACTCTGGTACACCGCGGAGGATTTTACAGTTGTCTTATAATCAAGGAGGCTGTGGCTGTAAATGCTGCTGGAAGATCCTCATGTTTCTAATATTGCAAATAGAACATTAGAGTGTTTCTCAATTTCATCTGTCAAAAACCTGCGTTAGCTGTACTTCAAACAAGAACCAGCCCCCGTGAGGACTAACAATGGGTAACAAACCTTTAAGTTCATCAAAAGACAACATCAGGGAAAATCAGCACAGTCCAAATACTAGACCAGAAATCTGAGAATCTGATAAAGGCACAGCCTGCTATGAAATTAATTGCTCCCAGAGCCATCAGGGAAGTGAAAAATATACTGTCGAACATCTGTTGTTTGTGAATGATGAGGGTTGGCCACATAAGATCAACTGCACACAGTATCAGCACTCTTGCATTTTCTAGGAAAGTACCTCACATTCTGCAAAGATCAGCAGCAGGAGTGTGGTGTACTTCAATTAGAAATGAAAGCCTGCTTCCCCTTCCTCTGCTTTCTGATCCACCAAGATGTGAACAGGCAGCGTCCCCTGTAAACCCGCATATACCCCTCCCCGCACCTCTCATGAGCAGGCACCTGTGATGGACCATATCCCTGAAGCCAAGAACCCAAATAGATCATTCCTCCCTTAAAAAGCAAATAAAACAACAACTGTTAGGTTGGGGTTTATCTGTTCGATGTGGGAATAGAAGAGAGAATAAAACCGACCTCAATGGAGCAGACTCAGAAGACTAAGGCAGGAAGATTGCTGGGAGACTGAGGCCAGCCTGTGCTGCACAGTGAATCAAGTCTACTAGGGCTACAGAGAGAGAGAGAGAGAGAGAGAGAGAGAGAGAGAGAGAGAGAGA